AAGCACAGCAGATCTGTTTATCCTCTGTAGTCTTCCTCGATCTCTTTCTTCAGGAGTTTGTAATTCTCCTTTTAGAGTTCATTCATATCCTTTGTTACAAATTACTCCTTGTATTTGATTTTTTTTTTGAGGCTATTGTGAATGGAATTGTTTCCATATATTCCTTCTCAGTTTGTTCGTTGTTGGTGTATAGAAAAGCTAATGATTATTGTAGGTAGATTTTGTATCCTGCCACCTTACTGTAGCTGCTTATGCTGTCTAAGAGTTTTTGGGTAGAATTTATGGGTCTTTATGGTATAGGATCATATCATCTGCAAATAAGGATATTTTGACAGTTTCTTTACCTATTTGTATTCTTTTTATTTCTTCTTCTTGCCTAATTGCTCTGGCTAGGAATTCCAGTACTATGTTGAATAGGAGTGGGGATAGTGGGCACCCTTGTCTCATTCCTGATCTTAGGGAAAATGGTTTCTTTTTTTCACCATTAAATATGATGCTGGCTGTAGGTTTGTCTTATATAGCCTTTAGAATATTGAGGTACTTTCCTTCTATTCCTAGTTTTCTTAGAGCTTTATCATGACGTGGTGTTGGATCTTGTTGAAGTATTTTTCTGCATCTATTGAGATGATCAAGTGGTTTTTGTCTTTTCTTCTATTGATGTGCTGTATTACATTTATAGATTTGTGTATGTTGAACCACCTCTGCATCCCTGGGATGAAGCCAACTTGGTCATGGTTTATGATCTTTCTGATGTGTTGTTGGATTTGGTTTGCCATTATTTTATTAAGGATTTTTGCATGGATATTCACTGAGGAAATTGGCCTGTAGTTCCCGTTTTTGGAGGTGTCTTTGTCTAGTTTTGGGATGAGAGTAATATTGGCTACATAAAATGACTTAGGCAGTGTTCCTTCCCTTTCTATTTCATGGAACAGTTTAAGGAGGGTTGGAATTAGTTCTTCTTTAAACTTCTGATTGAATTCAACAGTGAATACATCAGGTCCTGGACTTTTCGTTTTTGGGAGGCTCTTTGATTTCTGCTTCAATTTCTTTTTGTGTTATAGATCTATTCAGGTGATTAATATCTTCTTGGTTCAGTTTGGGGTTGTTGTAAGTTTCTAGAAATCTGTCCATTTCTTCAAGAGTTTCAAATTTATTACAATATAGGCTCTCAAAGTAGTCTCTGATGATATCCTGGATTTCCTTGGTGTTTGCATTTATCTCCCCTTTTGCATTTCTGATTTTACTGATTTGAGTTTTTTCTCTCCTCATTTTAGTCAGGTTTGACAGGGGTCTGTCGATCTTATTTATTTTTTCAGAGAACCAGCTTTTTGTTTCATTGATTCTTTGTATGTTTTTTGTTGTTGTTGTTTCTATTTCATTGATTTCAGCCCTTATTTTAATTATTTCTCTCTTTCTGCTTTTTTTGGGATTTGCTTGTTCTTGTTTTTCTAGGAGTTTGAGATGTAGTATTAGGTCATTGATTTGAGATCTTTCTGTCTTTTTAATATATGCACTCATGGCTACAAAAGTTCCTCTTAGGACTGCCTTTGCTGTGTCCCATAGGTTTTGGTAGGTTGTGTTTTCATTTTCATTAACTTCTAGGAACATTTTAATTTCCTCAATGACCCATTCATCATTGAGTAATGTGTTGTTCAGCTTCCAATTGTTTGCATATTTTTTTTACTGATGTTTTCGTTTTTGATTTCTAGTTTTATTGCATTGTGGTCAGATAGAATGTATGGGATTATTTCTATTTCTTATATTTGCTGAGGCTTGCTTTGTGCCCTAAGATAGGATCAATTTTAGAGAAGGTTCTGTGGGCTGCTGAGAAGACTGTATATTGTGCAGAAGTTGGGTGAAATATTCTGCAGACATCAGCTAGGTCTTTTTGATCTATGATGTGATTTAGTTCTAGGATTTCTTTATTGATTTTTTGTTTGGATGACCTATCTATTGGTGATAAGGGAGTATTAAGATCTCCCACTATCACTGTGTTGGAGTTTATATATGTTTTTACATCCTTCAGAGTATGTTTGATGAAACTGGGTGCACTGACATTGGGTGCACATAGGTTGATAATTGTTATTTTCTTTTGGTGTATTTCCCCTTTTATTAGTATGGAGTGTCCTTCTTTATCTCATTTGATCAATGTAAGTTTGAAGTCTACTTTGTCTGAGATAAGTATTGCTACCCCTGCCTGGTTTTGGGGGCTATTGGCCTGGCAAATCTTCTTCTAGCCTTTCACTTTCACCAGTGATTATTTCTGTCGATGAGGTGGGTCTCCTGTAGGCAGCAGATTGTTGGATCTTCCTTTTTAATCCAGTTTGCCGATCAGTGTCTTTTGATGGGGGGAATTTAGTCCATTAACATACAGTGTTATTATTGATGAGTACCTAGTGATCCCTGTCATGTAGCTGTCTTAAGGGTTTGATTAAGGGTTTTATTGTGTGCAGCTGAATCAATGTTATTCTTTACTTTCTTGCCTGTTCTTCTCCTGTGGTTTGGTTTTGCCTGCCCTTTCATGGTTTTGTTTGCTTTCATTTTCTGTGTGCAGAATTCCTTGAAGAATCTTTTGTAGTGGTGACTTGGTGGTCATATATTGTTTTAATTTCTGCTTATCATGGAAGACTTTTATTGTTCCATCTATTTTGAATGATATTTTTGCTGGGTAAAGTATCCTAGGATTTAAGTTATTTTCATTCAGTATTTGGAAGATCTCACCCCATGCTCTTCTTGCTTTTAATGTTTCTGTTGAGAAGTCTGCTGTGATTTTGATGGGTTTACTTTGTATGTTATTTGGTTTTTCTCTCTTACAGCCTTCAATATTCTTTCTGTAGTCTCTGTACTTGTTGTTTTAATGATAATATGTCATGGGGTAGTTCTCTTTTGGTCAAGTCTGTTTGGTGTTCTGGAGGCTTCCTATACCTGAATGGGCATAGTTTTCTCTAGATTTGGGAAATTTTCTATTATTATTTTGTTGAATATATTATGCATTCCCTTTGCTTGCTCCTCTTCTCCTTCTTCAATGCCCATGATTCTCAAGTTTGTTCTTTTGATGGAGTCAGTGAGTTCTTGCTTTTTCTTTTCTAGGTCTTGAGTTGTTTAACTAATAGCTCTTCAGTTTTTCCTTTAATTGCCATTTCATCTTCATATTCTGAAATTTTGTCTTTTGCTTGTTCTAGTCTGCTGGAGTGGCCTTTCATTTTGTTTTGTATTTCTGTTTCATTTTTTTTCTGAGGTTTTCCATATTGTGGGTTACTTCTTCTTTAATTTTGTCAATTTTTGCCCTTAATTCATTTATCTCTCTGTTTATGGTGATCTCTGTTTCAGTCTGATGTTTGTTTAGGGTTCCTATGATTTCATTTGTTTCTGTGTTTTCTCATATTCTTTAGTTTTGTTGTCTTGGAATTTCTTGAGTGCCTCCTGAAGTTTTGGTTGACCATGTCTAGTAGCATCTCAATGAAATTCTCATTAATTACTTGTAGAATTTCTTCTTTCAGGGGGTCCTTGTGGTCTTTGTTGGGTTCCTTGGTATAGTTTATCTTTGTTTTGTTGGAGTCTGGATCTGGGTATCAGTTTTCTTCATTTCACTCTAAATCCTATACTACTTTATTTATGAGGGGAGAATGGTTTCCATCACTTTTTTCTTCTTCTCATATTTCCCCTAGGTACCATTTCCATCCCTGGACTATGTATAATTTAGTATTAGCTGGGTTACAATATTAATATTAACAAAATTGTGAGAGAATTATAAAAAAAGAGAAAGAGAAGGAAAGATAAAAGGATGAGAGAAGAGAGGAAAAAAAGAAAAAAATGGGAGAGATGGTAGGTGACCAAACAGCAAACCAGGCTGCCAAACCCTTAAAGAAGGGAGAAAAGAAAAAAAGCAAATCACCAGTTCTGAAAGAGTAGAATTGCAGGCTTAGTTGTTACTCCTTTAGTGTCCAGTTCAGTCTGTGAGTTTCTCTTAGGCATGCTTGGAGCCCTCCAGTGGCAATCCAAGAGGGAGCCTGGTGGAGCAGTTATCTGGGAAGCCTGTAGAACTGGGGTCGGCTCTGCCCGAGGGGCGGGGTTCCTGGCAGGCTGGTGGATGCAGCTGTCTCATGCCAGGCTGGTGCCTGTCCCAGTAGTGCAGGGCTCCAGTTGCTCCACATGGAGGTGGAGACCAGCAGGGCCTCATGGGCTGAGGGAGTCCAAGGGGCAGGTCCAGTCATCCCACTCATAGCTGGGGCTTAGCAGGTCTTGAAAGGTGGTGGACTTGGGGGCGGGGCAGGTATCCCAGCAAGCTGTGGGACCGGCTCTGGGCTGGGGTCCGGCGTGGCCAGGGGGCGGGTATCCTGGTGGTGCATGGATCTGTCTTGGCCGGAGAGGCGAGGATCACACCTTGTGTATGTCCGGTGCAGAGCTGTGGCCTGGTGCAGCTCGAGGGGTGGAGAGCCTGGCACAATAGAGCAGCAGCTCTGCAAGCCTGCGAGGTGGGGATTTGGCAGGCCAGAGGTTCTTTTATTAGATCGTGGCATGGAGAAGCCTTACACAATCTAAAGGTTTAGAATGCCATATTTTTGACTCTCCCTGGTGCTTTACCTCACCCAGGTGTGCTTCTCGGCAGGGTCTCTGGTTCAGGAGCTCACGAGGTCTGCGGCTCTCTCTGTTGCCATCTTGGATCTCCTCACATTAAAGGTATTTTAGAGCAACATTATATTCCCAGGAATGTTTTGTATTATGAATCAATATTTTGAAATATGTCTCACAAGCTTCATAGGCCCATTTTATTAGGCTACATCTGTTTTATTAGGCTCACATGTTATTGGTAAAATAACATTTTACTGTCATGAAATATTATTTACTAATATTAAAATATCACATTTTACTAGTGAAATTTTGCTATTAGGCTCACAGTTTCTGTGAGTCTCAGGAACTGACACAAGGCATACCAAGGATTTTTGTCCCTGCTCTATAATGCTCAGAGTCTACTGAGAAGACACAAATGATGACTAACAATGACGTAAGTAGATATGGATGGACTTTCCAAGCCAGGGTTGGGATGGTTTCAGACCATCAACCACAGTTTCTGTGCATGACTTCATCATGTAGCAGCTTGGATTCTCACAGTCTCATGGCCCCAGGCCCATCAGACTAGTTTCCAAGAGCCAGTGCTCCCAAGATCAAGGCAGAAGCTTCATGTCCCTGTGTGGCCCAGCCCCAGCCATACTTCATTGGCTGAAGACATCACAAATCTGGTGAAACTCAAGAGCAAGGGACATAGAACCTAACCTCAATGAGAAAGCTGAAAGCAAATTTAAGGCAGTATTTTTAAACTGCCACAAACTTATTAGGTTCAAGGGTAGTGTTTCTATTTTGAAAATGATTCAAAGGTTTTAATGAAAGTTTTAAGAAATATTGATCAATTCTAATTTGCAAATGAAGAAAGCAACCTTTGTTGAAGGAAAATCTGCCATATCTTTGTTTTCTACTTGAAATTTGACATGGATTGTATGCAATTCCCTGAAATCTCCAGTATATATATATTTTTTTTGCTTTTTGTGTTTGTTAACCTATTTTTGAGACAAGGTCTTGTCATGTACCCCAGCTGGCCTGGAACTTTCTATGTAGTCCAGATTGGCCTCAAATTCATGATTCTCTGCATCCAGAGTACTGGGATTACAGTTATGCACAACCATACTTGTCCCTAATCCTGGTATTCTTACACTATATCGAAGAGGTCTTTCTTTCTTAATGGTAAGAATAACACATTCCATTTCCCATTTGGAAGCTCTGTAAAAGTTACAAAGATGTCTTGTCTTTAAGAAAATATTTCTACCCTGCAAGACAAATACTGTCAATAAAATAATTTATTTATGAATATTTAAAATGCTTACTTTCCCAGAACATAATTATAGCCACAAAAATAAGTCATAACCTGCATCCTGTTGGTGCTCCCCTTCACTCTTATAGACATAACAGAATAGAAAATGCATTCAACCAAATCAAGAACACAGAAACTATGAGAGTCAGCAAAACACACAGGAGACCAGTAACATTTCTCACAGTAAAAATAAAGAGTGACAAAAACTCCTCTATAATGAGAGACAAGAATTTCCTTGCTGAATGAGAATTACAAGGTAAAGTGGTATATCATTCCAAAATTCATAGAATACAGCATAAAGATTTAAAATTAAAAGTTTAGACATGTATTGAAAAATCTGGGAGCTACTGAGTAAAGATGGCAACAAGGGTTAGATATTGATGCTATCTTCCCCAACCTAAGGCCAACATAGAAGCCAACTCTAAATCCATTGCTTGTGGGATCACTGGGTGAGGACCACTACATATGGTTTAATGGGCCTGACCAGACCAGGGAACTTATGAACAATGAAACATGAAAATCACAAACATGAAAATTTGAAGTTCTTTTATTTGTACATTCAAATATCTATCAATAGTAAGAAATCCTACCCTTGAACTTCATACTATAAGAGTATAAGGATGGCACCAGAATTCCATATGATGATGGAAATGAGAAATGCTATTTCATAATTGAGGCAGGTAAGGAAAACTGGTTTGGTATGGAAAGATATGGTTCATGTAATTGCAAACTTTCAAAATAAACATATGCAGATACATTTAGTGTACATACACAAAATTTTCATATTCAGCGCATTCAGTATGTTGTAAGCACATACTTTAATGTAACATAAAACAGGAGTTTTATTCTTTTATGAAAAGCCCATGCCTGTTTGAGGTGTGTGTGTGTGTGTGTGTGTGTGTGTGTGTGATAGGTAGATAATATTATTTAATGTTTTTAAATAGATGCCTTAGAACATGAACTTTTTAGACAGACATAGTGGTGCATGCCTGAAATCCCAGCACTCAGGAAACTCAGAAAGGAAGATAGCAAGTTCATGTCCAGCCTGGGTTAGATAGGGAGACCCTGTCTCACAAAGAAGAAAAGAAAATGCACATTTTATTTTTTTGTTTCTGGTGATGGGGATCAAACTCAGGGCCTCACACACACTGGGCAAGCACTTACCACTGAGCTATGCTTTTTAAATTTAATTTTTCTATCAGTTATTTAAAAACAGCACTTCATGGTTAGTTGTTTCTAAGAGGCTTCAGGTCATGCCATCAAGAACCATGAACAAAAGTAAGACTGTTTCAAGGAGTATTTATTCCACTAGAAATGTTCCCAATTAAAAAATAAACTTTGATAAAATTAGATTTGAAGCTAGATAGTTAATGAACTATAATTAAATTAGTTTCCTTTGACATTAATTTAACAATACTAATCTTAAATTTTCTTCTAAAATTTCAAACAACATGAAATCAGAGTTCAAGAAGCCTGAATTCATTATGAAGCCATCGATCAGGTCATTAATGGGAAATCAAGGATTTTTTACTCCAATAAAAAAATCACGTTAGTGTGAAGCTTTGCTTCCCGTGTATTCTTAGAAAAACCCTGACTAGAAGAATCAACAATTAATTAAGAAAATGAATTCAGCACTGAGAATATATTACAGGAGAACTATCTGCTCCACAGTTCTATCTGTTCATGCCATGATAGCTTATTAAGTGGTGAAAAATAGAAACAGAGTAGGAGGGATGTCTTGACAAACAATTGGAACAAATGGACCAAATGACTACTTATTTAGATACCAAGTGAATAGCTCTTAAAAACTAATACCTTTGGACTGGAGGTATGGCTCAGGAAGAAGGTATAAGTTCAAAGCCCTTATACCCAGTTCCACCAAAAAAATTTATAAAAAACTCATACTTTTGAGGTACAAAATACTAAAATGGTCTCTTCAAATTATATCCTTCCAAGCATATGTCAGAAATACATATATACATATAAATATCTGGTCAAAATTCCCAACATTAATCATTTTATCATGATCTACATCTTACAGTTTATCACATAAAGACTGCCTATTGCAGTAAGAGCCTTTGGGGTCACAGACATGAATTAGATCCCAAAGAGAGGACAAGGCAAGAGTGCCCCACAGGATAGCTAAAAGAGGAAGAGCTAAAAGAAGGCTGTTAACTCTACGAAACCTGAGAACAAATTATTTGGTTTTTGTTTTTACCAAGTTGTGAAGAGAAAACTAGAAGTAAAACTTATGGAATCAAACGCTGCTAATTGAATCAATTTTCTGTTTATGACTTTTTCAATTAGAGAGATATTACAGTTTGCCCTCTAGCTACCACGCAGGACTTTTCTCACTGTCACACATCTGAAGGTAATAGAAAGAGGGGTTTGTAGCAAATAACTGGATCTTCAGAGGCTTCTGATCTACACTACTCCAATTCAGCTTCCCACCACAAATTCCTAATGGCCTCCAGCCCACTCATGTCTTCTAATGCTTTCCAGCACCTTGAATCCTTTCAGTTCTTCCCACCCTCTCAATTCTGGCATACCGTCTCTTCCTTTCTTAGTCCTTGACCCCAAGGTTAGCTACCTAAAATGCTCTCTCACCAATATCTTCAGTTCTTTCCTATACCAATACCTTCTGAGAAATTGTCTGGGTAAATTCCAACACAAGAACAAGGTTAAATCAGGCTATTGCACAGCAACTTCAATCTAGATAGTAGTGACCAAATTGTTCTCACACTGTTTCAAGTAGTGGCTTAAATTTCCATTCCCTAACCTCTGCTGGGACATGGAAATCAGCAGTCAGTACTTTCTGCTTTCTTTCTCAGTTACCATTACAGACCTGGTCAGTCTGGCACATTTACTTTCGGCAAACAATGTATCTAGAGAAATTGAAGTAATGATGTATGATCTGCAATAGTGGAAATCAGAAAATCCCCCCTGAAAGAAAGCAACAATAAAACTGATGGATTTATCAAAAGCAAACATTTAAGGCACTGAAAATAGAACAAAGGCACGAGGTACATCTATAACAGAAAAACTACTGAAGTTCAATAAGAACCTTTCTGTGGGATTTTAGCCTAGGGTTGCTAAAACTCTTCCCTTCTGTTCCCTTCCCCGTCTCTTCCATGTGTGCCCAACTGATTATTAGGATTGAGCAAGCCATGAAAACCATTAGTTCCTTTAACAGGAAAGGTATGAGTTGGACATGACAGTCAGCAGAGCACAGAAAAATCCCCACAGTCTTTGATTTTGTAGGAAGCAGTAGCAATTGGTGACAAATAAGGAAGAAAATTAATGTTGATTACCCTGAGTTTCTAATCCTTGATGAGAAACCTGCAAATGTAGTGGAATATCCAGGGAATGAGGCATCCAGAGAAGATTCAGCAAGCTCCCACATATGCTGGCGGTCTAGAAGGCAGTGTGCTTGTATGAGGCTGTACTCATATTCAGGAAAGACTGGAGGGAACAGCTATTTCCTATCACTTCCTGCAAGCAAGACCTAAAGCCCCTGCTTGGACCAGCTAGAATGCCCCACTCACTGTATGCTGTTTAGATACATATTAGTTAGGCCTATAAATCTTTCGGTGATATAAAGGCTTGCCAGATACAATCCTAGTTGGTCTGCAGAGCAGATGTCTCTGAAACAGGAAAATGTGACCCTTCCCTTCCCCCAAGAGGCCCATATCTGGAGCCCAAGTTATCTGTGTACCCGATTTCCAACTCTTAACTCAGCCCCTACCCCTTAACAGGCACCAGGATCATCTACGACCGAAAGTTCCTGCTGGAATGCAAGAACTCACCCATTGCCCGGACACCCCCCTGCTGCCTCCCTCAGATTCCCGGGGTCACAACTCCTCTAACAGCCCCAACCCCCAAGCTGGAGTTGCTGAAGGAGAAGGAGACAGAGGAAGAGATACCTGGTAAGTAAAACCTAAAATTAAATACCGCAGCCTTTGAGTTCAAATGCCTCTGTGGAGAGGGATTTTCTACTCTGACATGGGACCTACAGACACCCAGACCAGCAACCAGTCCTCTCTTGCCTTCTCTTTCCAGATGATGCACAGTTTGAAATGGACATCTAATCCAGTGCAGATGACCCCACATCTGGAGTTATAGAGGGATCCCTCATGCTGCCGCTGCTGACACCACCTCTTTTTGGGGTATCCCAAGGCCAATTGGCCTCATTTAATCTGGAAGAGTGACTTGATGGTTCTGGGTTTCCTTTAGTTCTGAGGCCACTAGACCAAAGATAGGAGTGGGCAACTTGTCAAGCCCTTAACTCTATTTTCTCCTTGGTCTGTAGGTACTCCTTCTAACCTCCAGCCCTCTGCTTAGGGCTGGCACTGGGGGATGCAGCATGTCAACTTTTGGCTGCTTAGTAAACATTCAAAGAAATGTCTTGGCTCTAGTTGTTCTCAATGCTTATCTTCTCACCTCAGCCACACAGCTGGCCTGGTTAAAAGACCCCAGGTCTTTTTATGGCTCCCACTGGGCCTGCTTCCAACAGCAATTAGAGCTTAAGGCAAGCTATAGGAGTTGCCAAACCATAATCCGCAATAGCCTGGTCCTTGCCAAGGGCTGTTCCTTTCTTTCCAGGAAGCATTTTCTTGGAACTAGGCCTCCCTAGCAGTGCCTCTGTCCATTCCTAAGAAGAACTCCCAAAAGAGAGTTACTATCCCAGCTTATAGCCATCTCTAGTCTCCCCTTGCCTTTTTTCCTACCTGTGAATATCAATCCCCATTCCAATACTCAAACCTACTATCCTACCAACTCTGTTTATTGAGGGTTAAAAGAGACTTTAGGTTTCACAGTGAAATCAAAAAATGTGGCACCAACTTGCTTGGTGAGTCATGATCATAAATCTTAGTAATATGGTCTTTTTTTTCTTTCAACTTACACAGGAGAAACTCCCTGGTTCTAATTTCTGTAAAGTAAGTGTGTGTGTGTGTGTGTGTACACACACACATATGTATATCTCAAAGCTGATATAGTGCAAAAAGAAGAGTCTTTCCTTTTTCTTGAGGGAAAAATGTCCCCATGCTATTTGAATCTGTTCTCCACATAGCAGGTGATAGTGCTTTTCAGTCTAATTTTGAGAAAAGTGGCAGGCAGCAATCTGGCCTTTCATGATAAAGGACAGCAGAGGTTTGCAGGGTATTGGGACAGTCAACACCAGAAGGGATGAGTTTGGCACAGGAAGGGCTCATCTCTCCTACGCAGTGCCTACCACTGATATGTTTTTATTGAAATGCTTATAAGTAACCTCCCTGTAGCCCAGGTAGGATCTTTCAGATCTAAATAAGATAAAAGGATAAAGACATACAAAACAAAACTGGATGTGAGATTTTTGTCTCTGTGACAAATACCTCAAAGGACAATTTAAAAGGAAGAAAGATTTGTTTTGGCTAGAATTTCAGAAGTTTCAGTTCATCATTATCTGGTTTCATTATTGTGGGTCTAAGGCAAAGCAGAATATCATGGCACCAAGAGTGTGTGGCAGAGTAGAGTTGCTCACCTGATGGTGGCCAGGACACAGAAAAAGAGAAAGAGGAAGGGGCCAGGGTCCCAATATACCCTTTGAAGTCATGTCCCCTGTGAGCTACTTCCTCTAGTTGGGCTCCCCCACCTGCAGTTTCTAACACCTCCCAATAGCACATCTGAGAATCAAGTCTTTGATACATGAGCCTTAGGGGGACATTCCAGATCCGAACCATAACACTGAAATAACTGAATTATGTCCTTAAAAACAAACTGTAAAGCAAGGGAAATTATCAGTGATAAACATGAGTATTGCACAATGATAAAGGGGCAATTCTCCAAGAAGACTTAGTAATCTAATTTGTACAGACCTGAGAACAAACTGTGAAAATATATAAGGAAAAATCAAAAATCAGTGGAAGAAAAGACAAGTTCACCATTACAGTTGAGACTTTGACACATCTCAATCAGCAATTGACAGAAGTACCAGGAAGAACATCAGCAAAAACATAGTTCAATGGAACAGCACCATCAATCAACAGATCCTGTAGATTCTAAAATGAAAATGAAATATTATGAACAACTCAATGTCCACAAATTTGAAAACTTAGACCAATTCTTTGCAGGACATAACCTATTGACTCTTGCACAATTAAATACATAGAGGAGGCCTATATGGCCTGCATCTATTAAAGAAATAGAATTAACAATAACCTTCACAAAAAAAGCATCACATTCAAATGATTTCACTGGTGAATTCTTTCAAACATTTAAAGTAGAAATGATACCAACTCCCTATATTCTCTTTCAAAAAATTTTAAGCAGAGTAAACACTGTCTAACTCATATTGTGAGGCTACCAATATCTTAATACCAAAACCCTATAAAGACATTATAAGAAAGGAAAACTATAAACCTCTATGACTCATGAACATAGATGTACAAATCCTCCACAAAATATTAGTGAAATAAATCCAACAATGTAGAATTTACTTTACATGTACAAAGTTTGCTCACCACATGAAAATCCATTACTGTCCTCCATCATGTGAACAGGATATATAAGAAAGGGCATATCTTCCATACCAATAGATGCCAGAAAATCATTTGACAAATCCAATGCTTATTTATGATAGCTCTAAGTCAAGTAAGAATGGAGGAACTTCCACAACTGTATGAAAAATATCTAACAAAAAATCTACAGATAACATCATACTTGCTGGCAAAAATTAAAACATGGGCTTTCCTCCTAAGATCTGGAACAAGACAAAGGTGGCCCTTTTCACCATTGCTTTTCAACATTGCACTGGAAGCACTAGATGATGCAATAAGACAAGAAAAAGGAAAAAGGAAAGTATACAGCAAGAGAAGTAAATATAAGACACTCATTGCTTGCAAATAACATGGACATCTATGTGTAAAATCTGAAAATATTTGACAAAATACTGCTAGAAATAATGAACAGTTGTAACAAAGATACAGGACACACATTTAATAAATTAAAGTCAATTCCTTGCTTATACATTAATAGTGAACAACTGAATTTGAAATTAAAACTATACCATTTACATTAGCACCCAAATTGAAATGTTCAGACATAAATTTAATAAAATGTCTAATAAACTTAATAAAATGTTCAATAAAATCTCTACGTGGAAAATATAAAACTCTGACAAAATAAGTCAAAGAAGATTCACATAACTGGAGAGATACTTCATCTTTATGAATATGAAAACTCAAATATTATTAAGATATTAGGCCTTCTCAGTTTGATCTATAAATTGAATGAATTCTCCATCAAAATCTCAGAAAGTTACTTTGTGAATATAGTAACTTTGTGAATATATTTATTTGGAAAGGCAAAAGACCAAGAACAGACACAAAACTGAGGAAAAGTAACAAAGTCAGGAGACTGAAAATACTTGGATTCAAGACTTACTATATATATCTATATATATCTATGTATATATATATAGATATATATAGTAATATATACCTATATATGTATATAATAATCAAATTAGTATGGTATTGGCAAGATTATAGACAAATAGATTAATAGGACAGACTAGAAAATCCAGAAATATACCCACATAAACATAATATCAAAATGATCTTTAATAAAGGAGCAAAATCAATACAGAAAAAAGTTTTTTCAATAAATTGTCCTGGGCAATTGGACAGGCAAAGAAAGGAACGATAGGAAGGAATGAAGAACATGGGGGAGGAGGAAGAGAAGAAAAAAGGTAGAGAGAGATGAAGGAAGGGAGGGAAGGAAAGAAAGATTGTAAACACAGTAATTACACCTTTCACAAAAATTCAAAATTAATCACCAACTTCAATGTAAATACAAAACTATAAAACTTCTAGAAGATAAAACAGGAAAAAACTTAGATGGCCTTGTTTTTTATGATGACTTGGGGATTCAACTCAGGGCCTCACTCTTGTTAGACAAGAGCTTCATGATGTGAACCATGCTCCTAGGCCTTTTGCATTTAGTTTGTTTTGCACAGAGGGTCTCACCCTTTTGCCCAGGCTGGCCTCAGATCATGATCCTCCTACCTCCACTTCCCAAGTAGCTAGGACCACAGACATGAGCCAACATGCCAGGCCTCTCATGATTACTTTTTAGGTACAGCACCAAAAATAAATAAATAAATAAAAATCCCTGAAAGAATTGATAAACTGGATTTTATTAAAATTAACATTTGTGGTCTATAAAACACATTGTCAAAGGAATAAAAAGACAAGTAACACCCCAAAAGAAGACATTTTTGAAAAACATATCTGATAAAGGATTATTATTCAAATATACAAAGAACTCTTAAACTCAACAATAAGAAAACTGAGGACTTTTCCCTTTTTCTTTAATATAGTATATTTGATTTGTGAATTAGTCAGACTTGCTATCACTGTGACAAAATATCTGACATGGATAAATTAAGGGAAGAGTAGATTTATTTTGGCTCATCATTTCAGTTCAGAATGGCAGAGATGGCAGAACAGAGCAGCTGACCTTATGGAGTCCAAGAAGCACAGAGAAGAGCAGACCTGGAACCAGTTCCCCTTCAAAAGCACACCCCCGGTGATCTACTTCTTCCAGGTAGGCCCCATTGCCTAAAGTTCACACTGCCTCCCAGAATACCTCCCAAAATTGTGCTACTCAACACATGAGCCTGTGGGGCATTTCATATTCAAATCTTAACAATTTGAGTATACAGATCTCCAAAAACAATATATGAATATCTTAAAACACAAAAAATGTTCAACATCATTAGTTACTAGGGAAATGCAAATTAAAACCACAGTCATCTGTCACTTTAAACCCACTAGAGCAACCATAATCAAAAAATAAATGGCAACAAATGTTAGCAAGGCTGTGAATAAACTATAACACTTACACATTGATAATGAGACTATAAATTTGTACTGTTCCTATGAAGAACAGTTTGGAAGTTTCTTCAAAATATAAACTTAAACTTACTATATTACCCAGCAATTCTATCCATTTATCTACTCAAAGAAAATGGAAATACTGTACATGCCCAACAGAAAGATTTGTATTAAAATGTTCATAAAAACATTATTCAGAATAGCTCCAAGTAGAAAATGTTCTAAATATTTACAAACTAGAAAATGTTATAATGCAATATTATTCAGCAATAAAATTGAACAAAGTACAACATAATTTCAAAAAATAATATGCTAAGTGAAAGAAGCCAGACATAAAAGACTATAGATGCCATGTCCAGAAAAAGGCAAATATAAATCAAACTTGTGGCTACCTAGTGCCAGGAGTGATGATGGAACCTAACTGAACATGGGCAAGTTGAGGTGATAGAATTGTTATAAAGCTGGATTCTAGTGCTTGCACAACTCTTAAATCCTTACTGAAAACCATTGCCTTGGTGGTAAGTAAATTATATTTTGATAAAATCTGTAAAGAGGAAGTACTCAAATAGTAAGTGACTGACTGAACATAGATGCATCTTTCCACACACAAAACTCATCCACAATCATTCAATCTTGCTTTCTTTCTTCCAAAGAAGGTAGTTATACCTCCTTCCCTATGAGTCTTTCTCCAACTGTGTCCATGACATATCTTTATCCACCTTATGTGAGATTTCCTACTTCTTCCCTATCTTCATTTTCTCTCTGTTTGCATCTTTTCCATGATCTTATATCAAGCTCAAGTCTCCTATAATTAAGGAAATACAAAAACATGTTCCCTTTTCCCTGAATATAACTATTCTTTCTCCTTCCTGTTTTAAAATTAAAAAATTAGATAGTTTCATTATTGACTCTATATCTCTACTTCTTTCTATCTTCTATTCCTTCTTCCACTCACTGAAATATGACTTCCTTTATCTAAATGC